AATACCACGTGATGGTACATTGGCTATACTTGGATCATTTGCATCAGTCGAATCTTTTTCCTTTTCACAAAAACAGATAATTACAATGGGTATGCTGGCTGCAAAGAAACTTATTCTTTTACAGTGGCGGTCTTCTTCGGCCCCGTGTTTTAACAGGTGGCTTAATGAGATGGTGTCTGTGGCCAGGGTGGAGCAGATAAGATTTGATAGAAAGGGGAAACTGGCGAGTTTTTGTATGATTTGGCAACCATTTCTAGAATTCTTAAAAGAATAACTGATCATAATTTATGCCTCACACTCCACGTGAATTATTATTATTTATTTATTTTTTAGTCTATTTCACTCTTTATTTTGTTAATATTGTTATAATTTTTTTTTTTTTTTTTTTGGTTGTTGTTTTTTTTTCCTCTTCTTTTTTTTCTTTTTCTTTTTTTTTTTCTCTTTTTTTTTTCCTTTCATGCTCATAAGTTCACAAATGTTAAAGACAGTAATTGTTCTCGGTTGATTTGTATAAGCATGTTATGTTTAATTTAAATGCAGAAATAAAATTTAAAAAAAAAAAAAAAAAAGGTCTTCACACTGGATTCCAATTCACATGATGAGCAACCTGGTTAGAAATCAGGAACTTATCTGTTCAGATGATAAATTGCACAGAGCTTGTTTACTTAATGCAGTGGTTCCCAAACTTTTTTTTACTATGCCCCCCTTTGTTTTACAAGAAAGATGTTTGCGCCACCCCCCGCACAAACACATCCTCCAACCACACACCACTGTTGTGATGTGTGGTCCAACTACGTATAAACACACACACACAAAGTAACTCCTAATTGAAAGTGCCTATTTTGGGTCACTTTTGCCGGTGTTGTGCCAAAAAGTGATTGCCTGCCAAAAACTGATTTCCAATGTTTCTGTGTATTTTTTTTTCTTTCTTTCTGCAACTCCGACAGTTGGCTAACCTCTCTCCGTGCTACCTTGATCTTAGCCTCTAGCCTCCTTCTCCATGGAGGGTACTGCCCCTTGTGGCTGTTCAACTTGTAGCCAAGCATCTCACTGATCACTGCTGCCGTATTGTAGATCAGCTTGTTAGTGTCGGTAATCGTGGTTCTAGGTATCGTCCGTAGTGCTGCATTAACATCATCTAGCAGACCTTCTAAAGGTACTTCACGTAATCTTGGTAACTGGCTACGGGGGTCCAGGTTTCAAGCTTGGCCATGATCCTATCTTTCAGGTCAGTTCCTCTCGGACTCAACGATCCTTCTCCTATCACACTTGGGGCTTGGTACCCAATCTCGGGTGGGGGTGACCTGACCTGGCGTCCTGGCTCCCCCTTGCCGTAGCATTCATGTTGTACCTCATCAATCTCTAGCTGTGAGAGCAGTCCCTTCTTTCGAATGTTGTAACACTGAGCTACTAGTTGTTTCGCCGTCATTGTGGATGTTGGGTATCGAAGAATCCATAGGTCCCGCCAGGGTTACTTGCGTAGTAGTATTCCAACAATGCCCTGTTTTCGTCTCTTGCCCACCGATGCCTTCTTGTTCGAGTAGCCCACTTCTCGTCAGGGTGCCCTGGTTCCTCAACACCTGACGCGGACCTTGTTGATCTGGGCGACGTCCGAGCCGGCATGCCTTCATATTTATCTGTCTCGCTCATGTCTGTAGGCTTGCTTAGCTTAGGGCGTCTAGCCTTAGGACCCTTACGCCCCAGGCGGGAATCCAACTTGCGAACCTCTGGTCCAAAGGCGTGTAGCCTAACCACTACACTATCCAGCTGCTATATATATATATATATATATATATATATATATATATATATATATATATATACATACACACATATATATATATATATATGTATGTGTGTGTGTGTGTGTGTGTGTGTGTGTATATATATATATATTAGGGGTGCAACGATATTCGTATCGATATTGAACCGTTCGATACAGTGCTTTCGGTTCGGTACGCATATGTATCGAACAATACAACATTTGTAATTTATTTTATCAACTTTCCTTCTGACGATGCTGTCTGTGTTGAGCGCTCAGTGAATCTGTGTTCGACTACTCCGCCTAGGCTGCACTGTCGAGCGCAGATCCACTGAGCGCTCAACACAGACAGCATAGTCAGAAGGAAGAGCGCAGGGCAAGCTAGCGAGACAGAAGTTAAGCTCTCCTTGCAAGATGGACCTCCCCCACCCTCATTCAGATCTGGCGTTTGGAATTATTTTGGTTTTCATGTGACGTATGACCCTGAAGGTAAGCGAGTCATGGACTAAAGTAAAACAGTATGTTGGATGTGCCATGCAATGCTTAATTACATTGGTGTGAACTAGTGTGTTAGCGCAGTTAGCTTGTTAACGTGTTGGCCGTCTAGCCCCATGCACGGGGCGATCGGCGGTAGCTCGTTAACGGAGATTTGCCGTGTTGTGGCGTTAAGGTCATTTCAACGAGATTAACCTGAAAGCACTAGTGGGAACACAACGAATATGACTGCACATTTACGCCGACATCATCCTAGTGCAAAGACAAAAACAACAAGCATGCTACTAACTTTAGCCGAGTCATTTAGACAGCTGTTAGCACGTGATTCTCCTTATGCTGCTGAGAATATAGCCCAGAAGAAGCGGATAGTATAGCTTTTATTTTGGAAAGAGACATTTCTCTGTAATAAACTCTCTTTTCCAAAGATGAGTGATTCCTCAATCAGATACAGGGCTTGCAAAATCGCTAGCCTGACGTCCTGGAGCTAGCGATCTTTCCAGTCGGGCTACAAAAATCTATCTCTTTCCTGCCCGTCGGGCTATTGTAGGAAAAATATATGTCAATGCTTTTGCATTCTTTCAGAAATGTAGCTGGGTAATTATGTCATTGGCATCGGTGAGCCACTGTCAATATGTGACATATTGAAGTCGCGTTTGAATTTGCGCTTGTTTTTTTGCTTTCACTTTGCAATGACAGCACTGATCTGTGAGTGATGATAATTTGTGCACCAATTCCTCTGACATCGTCTTATTAATCGTTAGCTTACTATGCAAACATGACAAGTGAAATCTCCCGCAGCAAGCTTAAACATGTGAGAGGTTGATCGCGCAGAGAATCGCTGAGCTTATGTGAGTCCGTGTGTAAAAGTAGCAGTATATATATTTTAGTTCTGCTGAGCCAAATAAGACAGGTCGGGGTGAAGAAGTGACAGCCAAAGAAAAGCTTACCACAAAACGGAGAAGTTATGACAAATGAGACTATAAGGCAAAAAGAAAGTGCAGCTTTATGGTTTCATGGACAAAATAATTTCTGTGGCTGCAATATGACGAGCTAAATAACCAGGGCTGCACATAAGTGGTCCGCAGGTGCACATTCGCTGTCAAAATAAAAAACGCGCACAAGGGTTAGGGTTAAATTTAAAAACTGTACTTTTGAGTTAAAATATATATTTATAATTTTAATAAATGACAAATTAAAAAGGCATGAACATTTTTTTGTATCGAAAAAATATCGAACCGTGACACCAAAGTATCGAACCGAACCGAACCGAACCGTGAATTTTGTGTATCGTTGCACCCCTAATATATATATATGTGTGTGTGTGTGTGTGTGTGTGTGTGTGTGTGTGTGTATATGTATATATATATATATATATAGATAGATAGATAGATAGATAGATAGATAGATAGATAGATACATACACACACACACACACACACACACACACAGACAGACAGACAGACAGACAGACTGACTGATTTTCCTTACTGAGGAGTTGGCAACACTGGCCATGGGCTGCGACACATTTATACAGCCCTATTTCGCATATGACTATGAAAGGCGTAAGAGGAAGTAGTTTCTTCCAATTTAGATGATCCGAATGATATAGTTTCTTTCCACTGTGTTCCTGTTAATGAAAAACTACAAATTTACCCCAAAGTACTAAAATATCGATATTTTAATATGAGAATCGATTCTAGAACATAAATTACTGGTATCGGAAGAATCCGCACACCACTACACTTCAGACATAATTTTTCTCCCTTCAGCAGACAAACTTAAATCAAGTGATTGTAACACAAGTGCATCTGGAACCGATAAGCCGGATTGACAGGCAAGCAGACAAACCATTCCAAAGAAGTGAACTATTGAGAACTGAACCTCTCTACGAGAACTAGCTCCTAAATCCTATTCCTAGTTCTGCCCTTACATGTATGTCAACGGATGGGAAATATGAATTATTACAGACCAAAATGAAAATCTTATGTTTGCTTTAGTCATTCTAACTTATTTATGTATACTAGCATTCTAATTGTAGACAGAAAAAATATGGATATTTCAAATGATTATTCAAAAAACTCTTTAATCAGATCACCATCATAAATGGTGTGTGCCACAGCTTCAGTCATTTTATGTGCCTGATTGGCCATGGAACAAAAAAGGAACAGATCTCACCTAGCTGTGAATCGATCTGTCAGTAAGTTTTCCAATTACTTTTTAACTCCTGGAAATCAGGGACTGGGTTTGAAAATGTTGGTAATGCCTGAACAATTATCTAAATTTTTTTGTCAAAGGAAGCTGAAAGTCTCCACTTTATTCCCTTTTTTTTAAATTCTTGGCAAAATTACCAAAAAATGTAACTAACTCTATGAGCTTGCAAACTCTTTCATGAAGAGACGCTAATAAAAAGTGGGATATTCTGATCGTAAGAAGATGAACATCAATAAATCACTACATTGATGACCTTGGTGTATAAAAGACACAAAGATAACACCACTCTACAATCATACAAAATTGTATCAGAATTCATTCTGAACTTTTCAACCGCGCACAGGCAGAAACAATGAAACGCACACACATGCAAACATAACCTCATTGACAGAGATAATTGCTCATTGTACATTACAAAATACCATGTAATAGTCTACTTTTTCCATCCTGTATTGCACAAGCAACACATAAAGTAATTCAACAACTGGTATATAAAGAGATGTGCAAACACACAGCGATCATTACTTGTAGGCCTTACACCACTTACTTTCCATAGCCAACAGTTGAATTCCCTCTCAATCAGAAAGGTATGTATTTAAGGTATGTAATTTAAAAAAAACTACTTAAACTTGATAACTCAAAAAGAGCCATTAAATTCAACTTAAATAAAGTAATAGGATTTCTCTGATTCTTATCTCTAGGATGAAGTGCACTATACTGTTCCTTGTGCTGTCGATGGTCGTCCTCATGGCTGAACCTGGGGAAGGCTTTATTTCCCATATTATCGGTGGAATTATTCATGGTAATCTTGTTGATATTTAGATTTTTTTTTACAGTAACCCGTTCTCATGTATTCTAACAATCATCATCTATGTAGAAATTGTAGAAAATGTACGAATGGAGATGTGTAACTACTGTAATAACATTACAGTGTTTAATGTTAATTTAATGTTGGACTACTATGTTTACCAGTTTCTTTGCTCGCATTTCCTATGTAAATCATAAGTTTACTATATGCATAACCATAAACACATACATATACATTAAATATTTAATACATTTAAAATTTTAGAAAGAAACACACCAAGGTTTAAGTTTGGACAATAGCATATTTTTACACGGGAACCTTATGAGGATGAGAACCAATTTCTCTGAAAAAGTGAGGTGTCTGATTTTATTTAAAAGCAACAGCTAATGTCAGATTTGGCTGGAGGCTTATGGGCTTAAAAATTTAAAGTTGACCTGTAAAATTGTCTAATATTGAAAACATCTTACCCTCGCCTCATTTATTTTACCTTTGTTTACTTAAAATTAGGAATGCCAGTGATCATTACTTCCTCACTATAATACAGTTAACACAAAAACATAAGCTAGCTTCCTCAAAGTCTTTTATCAGCAAAAAATAGGTTTTTGGCCGTGGTATCAGATACCATGATCGCAGCTCAATTATCATTTCTAGACAAAGCTAATTTAGGATAAGTAAGTTGTACACTACAGTTACGGTAACAGCATTATACATCCTGCATTACTGTGTTTTATATTATATGAATTATAGTATGGTAAGATGTACACTACAGGCACATTCCCTTTGAATGGTATAATTGCATTGTACATCCTGCATTAATATTATATGTATAATACTGTGTCAAATTCATACTACATTATTTCCATCTCTTTTTTCTTTTATTCAGCTTGCAAGGCTATCCATCGGTAAGAACTTGTGCTTCTACAATTATTGCAAATGCTTGACAACTACTCTTGTTGCATGTGGATCTAAATTGTCATTTCTCTCTGACCACAGCGCAATACAACGTCGCAGACAAAGAGGAGAACTGCAGGTAGAGCAGGAACTGCAGCAACAACTACAGCAACTGAAACAACTTCAGCAACAGGAAAAGCTGAACCAACGCTTTAACCGAGAGCAGCTCAAACGAGAGAGAGTTGTTTTTAACTAGACTTCCACCCGAAAGAGAAAGTCTAAAACTCTTTACTGTAGTTGAATGCTTTATGCGCCTCTGAAAAACAAACTAATTAACATGACCTGCTATGGCTTTAAAATGTGTCTGAATGATTGATGACATGATGAGATGATTTAAAGAGACAAATGAGATGTATTGAGTAAATTTTCAATAAGGTTCAATAATTTTCTGCAACACTTGTAATGTGTAGAACTACTTTACTGTTTCAGCAACACATTTTATTATAATGCTAAAGCATCCATCCATCCATTCGCTTCCCCTTATCCTTTTCAGGGTCGCTGGAGCTGTCACCCTGGACAGGTCACCAGTCTGTCGCAGGGCTAACACACAGAGACAGACAATCATTCCCACTCACATTCACCCCCGCATTCACACCTAATAATGCTAAAGCAAAAAATAAATTTTCATGCACAAAAACATTTGTCCCTTGTCTAATTTAAAGGATACATGTGTTTGAATAAATATTGAAATAATTTGAATGGTTGCTCTGACCTTCATGCAGTTACAGGTTGTATTTAAAAAAAAATTATACTATGAACAAGATGTTTCTGTGGTGGGCGAGAGGAGTGGAAAAGCGGGTTCAGGGTGTGGTCTCAAAGCAAGGTTTTGTAAAACCACTCGATCTGGCTCTTTGCCAGTGCTGATGATGCTCCCCCCAAAACCCCAAAGCCTTCCTGGAGGTGTCACAGGCGACTGCGGAGGAATGGACTCTCTGTCTGCTCCTGCTGAATGAGAGGCTCAGTGCCGCCACACTTGGGCAGCACTCATGATGACACCCTATGCTCAGCCTTTGACCAGGTGATAAGAATTGAGGTCAGATGGTCTGCCCTGAAGCAGCGCTGACATTTCCTCATTTTTTTTTTGATTAGGAACAGATTGTATCGTGTTGTGACACACCCAGTTGTTGATGCCTAGAAGAAATTATTTTCCAGGTGGCTCATTACAACCCAATGGCCGGTCACATGGGTATGACAAAACCCATACCCATGTGACTGGCGTGACTGTGTGTTCACGGCCCTACATGTTACCTGAGCATAAGAGGCAAATTGTTCAGAGGGAATTGGCCAAAATGCTGAAAACAGGAGTAACAGAAGAGTCACGCAGCGCTTGGTGTAGCCCCATAGTTTTGGTTGTGAAAAAAGACGGGTCTATACCGGTGATGGGAATAACGGCGTTACAAGTAACGGTAACGGCGTTACAAGTAACGGTAACGGCGTTACTAACGGCATTACTTTTTTCAGTAACTAATTACTACTTCTATCGTTACAACGCCATTACTGTTACTAACAAGAAAATGCGGTGCGGTCGCGTTACTATTTTTCAACAACCAGACAGTTAAAGCTGTCTTCAGCTTACCGCATCAGTTGTACTGTATGGAAGTAGCCGTCTACGTAAGTTATCGGGGTGATACAGCTTTAAGCAGCTGCGCGCACTCCCGAGGACGGCAATCACTTTCTGCCTGATGATCACTTTTTGGCACAACACCCGGAGCTAAGGGGGCAAAACAATGAGTGCTGCTGTTTGACTGAGGAAGAATAAAGTAGTCGTGGTAAGCCAATCACATGACCACTTCAAGATGACAAAGCAACAAGGTGATATATACCAGTTTTTAAATTGTGTTGATAGGCCACGTAAAACCAGAGTCATGATAAACAATATGTGCATAATATGCAGCGTTTTTTCCTCAATAGTTTCGTCACGTTTACTGTCTGAGGACAGCTCTAGCAAGCACTCTCGGCTTATGAGAGTGCTTGCTAGAGCTTAGATCAATTGTGTTAATACAGTATGTCAAAATGAAAACATAACTGTAAATTCAGACACGTTAGGTTGTGCTGAAAAGGATGATACCAAACAAGCAAAGTAAATAGTTTTTAAAGGTGAAATGTTGGGGGAAAATCAAAAGTTGTTAAAAATGGCCAATAATACCGTGGAAAAAATGTTAAACATTTTTTTAAAGTAACGCAATAGTTACTTTTCAAGTAATTAATTACTTTTAGAATCTTGTAACTCAGTTACTAACTTAGTTACTTTTTTGAAGAAGTAACTAGTAACTATAATTAATTAATTTTTCAAAGTAACTTGCCCAACACTGGTCTATACGGTTCTGTGTCGACTATTGCAAGATGAATTGTTCTGTCACACGTGCCACAGTTTGATGCTTATCCCATGCTCCAGGTCGACGAGCTCCTGTACCGGTTAGGCACTGCTACATTGGTTTTAACCAAGGGCTACTAGCAGATCCCCCTGTCTGCATAGCCCAAGGAAAAAACTGGCCTTCTCCACTCCGTACAGTTTGTACCAATTCGTCACAGTTCCGTCGGCTTGTTTGGAGCCCAGCCACTTTCCAGACGCTCATGGACCGGTACTGTGTCCGAATGCTGCATATGCTGCTGTCTACCTGGACGATATCATCATCCATAGTAACACCTGGGTGGAGTATGTGCAGCGGGTGGCTGCTGTCTTGGAGTCTCTGAGGAAGGTGGGGCTCAAGGCCAACCTGAAGAAGTGTGAGGCTGGACGGAGGGAGGTACAGTATCTGGGGTACCACTTGGGGGGGCGTGTCCCACTCAGACCCATTGTCAGTAGCATAAACTCAGCCACTTACAACATTTCGAAACACTTTGCAACCATCCTAGCACCTCTTGTGGGGAACACCCCACATCACATCAAGAACTTCACCGACAAGGTCCAGAAACTTACCCTAGATCCAGATGAAACCATGGTGTCCTTTGATGTAGTCTCCCTCTTCACTTGCATACGCACCACAGAGGCAGTGGAGACTATCAGAAAACGACTACAAGAAGACAGCTCCTTGGAAGACAGGACCAACTTCACACCCGATCAGATTTGCACACTGTTAGACCTCTGCTTCACCACTACATATTTCAAATACAACGAGGGCTTCTACAGACAAAAACATGGCTGCCCAACCTTTACATGGAAGAAGTGGAAAGAAAGGCTCTTGGCTCTTTTAAAGGGAGAGTACTGTAGGAGTGTTTAGCTTATTTTAGAGTTTAGAAATGTGTTAACATAGAATGTAGAACTATTGTAGAGACACTGCCCTCAATATAATAAAGGACTCACTGTGTCGTGAACTTAGGAGTAGATTGTAGGAGACCCCTCCCCCACTTGAAATGTGAAAGTAAAACAGAGAGCAGTTAATGCTGAGTGGAAATTTCCCAGAGAATGTTTGGGTGGGGGTCTCAACATTTGTAACTGGATAACTGTGGTCTGGAAGGGAGATGGGTTTTATGACCTAGGGAGTCACCTACACCCACAGTGCTTTAACTGTCACGCACACGCACACACATCCACACGCACACTCACTCATGTGCACTCACACATACACACAGGTATGCGTACACAGTCACACACGAGCACTCACATAGACACGCGGGAACGCGCACATGTAGGCATTCATGTGCTCGTGGACATAGATACAGACACAGAGTTTGCAGCACACCGTAGGGGGTTTTATGATGGGGACGCCTCTATAAAGCTGGCTGTAACGAACAAAGCGGTGAAGATTTTTTGGAGAGGGACACACCAGCCTCGTCTTCACTTCTAGAAGATGCATGCTTAAATGAAGATGAGTAAAAGATGAGTAAAGACGAATAAAGGTTTTGTGAAAATAACTACTGAGCTCCGGTGCAGTCTCTGGATGCTCGAGGAATAAAAAGAACCGGGGTAAAACAGTACCCAGCCACTGGTACAGATATGTAGACAAAACCTGGGTCAAAATCAAAACACAAGAAGTGGAATCCTTCACTGCGCACATTAACGCCATGGATAAAAACATCAAGTTCACCAGGGAAGACACAAAGGATGACTGTTTGCCTTTCCTGGACTGCGCTGTGCACATTGAAGAGAATTGCAACCTCAACAATGAAGTTTACCGGAAGCCCCCACACACAGACCATTACCTCCTCCTTGACTCCCATCACCCTCTGGAAGACAAACTTGGAGTAATTAGGACCCTACACCACCGGGCAGAAAATGTTCCCTCTAAGCCTGAAGGGAAAAAGAAGGAACACACACATGTAAAGGAAGCACTTAAAACATGCGGCTATCCTAATTGGGCATTTATAAAGTCAGCAAAGATGCACAGAAAAGAAGGCCAGACACCAGCGAGGGAGGATAAGAAAGACAGCCGCAACAACATTGTCATCCCCTATGTAGCCGGTGTATCAGAGAAACTCAGGAGAGTTTTCTCCAAGCACGACATCCCAGTGTACTTCAGACCCAGCAACATACTCAGACAAAACTGGTTCACTCGAAAGACAAAACTCCAAAACACAAACTTAACAATGTGGTGTATGCTGTACAGTGTAGCGAGGAATGCCCAGACCTCTACATTGGAGAGACCAAACAGCCACTTCACAAGCGCATGGCACAACATAGAAGAGCCACCTCCACAGGACAAGACTAAGCAGTTCATCTGCATCTGGAGGACAAAGGTCACTCTTTCGAGGATGCCAATGTTCACATGGACAGAGAGGACAGATGGTTTGAAAGAGGAGTGACCCACACCCATTTTCACACCTCTGCTCATGTGATTAGGTAGAGGATCATCAGGGTGTCCTTTGTCCCTCTTTGGGGGGAAACTCCCACTGGGTTTAAATCTGGGACTCTCCACCATTTGACCCTTAGAACTGAAGAAGCTTCTCGGATGAGAGGTGAAACGTCTTCAAGCAACTTAAAGAAGTCTAGACACTTTTCTTTGAAAACTCCTTTGACTAGACACCAGCAAGTGCTTCATGGAAACAATTCTTTCCAAGCTCCTTAGACTACGATGACCTGGATGACTGAGAACCTTCATAGACATACTTCCAATTTAGACATATGACTACTCCTTTCATAGTCATATGCGAAACATGGCTGTATAAATGTGTCGCAGCCCCTGGCGTGCGCACTCACAACAATGGCTGAGCGGAAACGGAGTCATGTGTGGACGGATTTTACCTCCACAAACAGCCAAGACGCGGTTTGCAATATGTGGCAAGACAGTGAGGTGTTGTGGCAACACCACTGACCTCATCAAACACCTCAGGGTAAATCATATCACAGAATATGATGAACTTATGTTGAGGCGAACTGAAGAGGAGGCGAGGGACAGGTGCTGCTAGGGCAAGACAGACGTCTCTAGCGGAGTCCTTTAGTGCTGCAGGCAGGCAACATGCTCAAATAGCGCACAACTTCAGGTTTTTGTTATTTCTATATGAATATTCTGCATTATTAGCAATAAGAACAAGTAGTCTAATGTCCTTTAATCATTATAAAGCTCTATTATTATATTATTATTACAATTAAAATAATACAATAATATATTGTATTATGAAATACAATGAAACATTAAGTTTTTGTACAAAGTATCGGTATCGGATCAGTATCGTCGATACCAC